TATTATTATTGTAATTATCATTATCATTATTATTATTATAAAACTAAATATGGTAAGCAGTATGCTCTTCCTATACAGCCAAGCACGATCAAGATTTATTTTTTTAAAGGTTATTATTAAAAACCACAACGACATACCCGGGAGAAAAAGTACCTCAGAAATAAATTAATGATTAGCTTTACGAAAATATCCATCAGAACTTTTAGGGGAAGGGGCTGGAGGAGGGGGAAACTTACCAGACCCTACCGGTAGCAACGTTAGTTCATTTGCATAATAATATTGAGGCGTGCAGTTCCTTCCCATAATCAAAATTTCATGAAGTATAGGCGGTCACAATAGAACAGTGAATTTCCTGACAGCCGTAACGAGAAGCAATAATTATGGATAATGCAATGAGCGGAAAATGTTACAATTACGGATAAATTAACGGATCGGGTTGTATAATAACAATAATATGCTGCGTGCATATTTATGAGGGGAAGCAACCGCCATTCATTTGTAGTAATAGACGCCCGGAAGTTAGATCAAGGCCAAATAATTGAGCTTTGAAGCAGACGACAGCGAGAATGAAATCGACAGGTTTGAAAGTTTTCCGGCTACGGTCGGACTTCCAAGAAAGATTTCCCAGCTGGGCAAACCAGACACTCACATGCTGTATAGTATGTATGCTACGACTGTTTCCTAACATCCCATTACTGTGATGTTTTGGGTGGTTGTTGTTTTTTTTTTTTACATGGCTACTATTTAACAACGCTCTTACTATTTCATGATATTACTCAGGAAAAAAACCTGAAGTAAAATGGATACCCCAACCTCACAAATACCTCGTTCGACTTTTTCTCCAACATTCTGCCTCAAAATACAAACTCTTAACACCGAGGTACATCCGTATGGAGTCTAGGTGTTAAAATGACATTCAAAAGCAAACAAAAGACAGGAGCATAAAAATATTGTATCAAACATTATTCCAATACAATGTGTCAGATCACCTGTATGCATATAAAAATAAGAAGAACTAAAGAAATCTTTCGAAGAAGAAAAAATAATCAAATACATTGATCTAAAAAAATACCCTCAAGTGTCGGAATCTTAAAAAAAATATGACATTAAAGTGAAATGGACAGCCGCCTTTGTGATATCACAGAGGAATGCATGGATACACTTGAATATTATAAAGACAATAATAATAATAGTGATAATGATTATAATGATAATAATAATAATAGATGTATTATAATATTGATAGTATTTATAATAAAGAGAAGAAGAAGAAGAAGAAGAAGAAGAAGAAGAAGAAGAAGAAGAAGAAGAAGAAGAAGAAGAAGAAGAAGAAGAACGCTGGAAAATAATAATCGATAAAAAAAAAGAAAAAGAAAAGATATAAAAATGTCTTCCTTTTTGCAGTAGAAAGGATAAAACTTCTAAAAATCTCATTTACTCATTTAACTCATAGGACACAAAGTAGCTTAAAACAACATTTGTTTGTTTTTGTTTGTTTTTGGGGGTTTTTTTTACAAAAAAGAAATATTATGTATTATGCATGATTAAACGGCACTTTCAAATCCTTTCTCACCAATCCGACTGACAGACAACCAAACAACCGCATATTTTAGATTGGAAGAGGAAAAAAGGGGGAAAATCAGACCTGTTCTTTTCCCCTTTTTGAATTAGTTTCAATTATTTTTCATGACGCGTTTCCCTCATATTGAGGTGTTATTATAGTATAAAACATTAGTATTGTTCATAGCTGCTGTTGCTGTTTTTGTTTCTGTTGTTTTTATTCTTTGAGAGTTTTGATATCTGTTCTTAAATTTCCTCACTGTTTGATAGACTGACTGTGAATCTAGCCGAAACATTATTGTAAACAATAATCATTGTTCATTTACATCATAACATAGGCTTAGTCTATGTGCGATAGCGGGTATGTTTGTGAATGCGGAAGCGTAATAACATTAATATGTGTGCACGTGCACATGTTTGTGGAAAAGACGATGTTTGAGAGAGTACGAGTGTATGGGTGTGTGCCTGTGTTTGTGTTTGGTGAATACCAAATCAGTGATTTGACACTGTCTCTTATCTTATTTTATCTTCTCTTATCTTCTCTTATCTTATCTTATCTAAGTGCGCCGTACTTTCTTCTTTCCCTCTGTAATGTTGCACCTTGCTGTTCTCAATGCCAAACGTTTATTCTTTGATAGTGTTGTTGTGCAAATGCGTATAAAAGCTATCTTATGCTTAATGCTTTTCATTACGTCTTTCCACAGACGGAGAAAATGGTTGAGACAGCTGTTACAGCTAAACTTCATTGCGAACTTAATTATTATGATAGCGTTTTAGATGTCCGTGGTATACAGGCAACAGTTTCTGAGCCTTTAAAAGTTCTGTTGTCGTTGTTGTTGTCTTTTTCTGTTAATGTTAATTATACTTCATTTTGAGAGAAATAACACAGATACACACACAGCCACCACATGTACACGAACACAGACACATACACACATACACCTACGCACTCATGCATACTCACAAACACACACACACACACACACACACACACACACACACACACACACACACACACATACGCACTCGCACACATGCGGGCTCGTACATATCGTTATGTACTTACTTCTGTAAGTAAAATCAAATAAGTACTACTTGTTCATGCACGTCTGAATAGCAACCATAAAAACAGAATCAAACCCCACACCTACCGCCCAATACCCCCCCCCTTTCTATCAAGTCACAATTAATCTTTACTTGCATCCCGTCAGCAGCCAAACGAAAAGTAGATGAACAAGTACAATCTGCCATGAACCACTTTTTTATTATTATATGTTGGCTCACAGCGCCATTTGTAGAATCAAACATTGTGTCTTTATAATAGCCTTCAACCTCTTAACCTCATGCACCGTTCCAAATGACCTAGAAATAAATGTCCTATATATATATTATATATAATGTAGAGTTGTTCCATTCAAGCTGTTTTCGTTACATGTGAGTGGTTTCCGGTTTGACAGAGTTGGAATCTCCCTTGAAGTACGACTTTGGGATAGCCACAAAGCTGGAATCGCCGTCTGCAAGAACAAAAGTAAATGAAAAATTGTTAGTGATGTCACAGTTGTAAACGAAACGAAATGATACGAACAGTAGAAAGAGAGTTTAGCTGTGGGTTGTTGATACGTTTGTGTATGTGTTCGTTAGTTGATGCGGGTGCTTTTGCTTGGTTCACCATGGTCACGGGAGATAGAAAGTGAGAGGAGGGGAAGGGGGAAACGGAAGTCAGATATCGGTAGCAAGAGAGAGAAGACGGGTTGGAGAAATAGATAGATAGATAGATAGATAGATAGATAGATAGATAGATAGATAGATA